AGTTTGGTTTTCATAATGGCTCCATTTTCTCTAATATTCATCATCTCCTAGCTAACAGATCTAACAGGAATTGGCCGGCTCTGCTTAGAACTAGCTTTCCTTGGATTCTCTGGCGTATATGGAAAAATAGAAATCTCACTTTGTTTGAAGGAAAGAGTTTTTCGGCCTTGGAAACAGTTGAAAAGATTAGAGGAGAAGTGAATGAGTGGTTGGAAGCTCAAAAGGTGGAGTCTGAAGGAGAAGAGGCTGATGGGGTTGTGAGAAATATTGGTGTTGCTTGGTCGCGGAGAAACAGAATTGCAGGTTGTGCTTGGGTTGTTAGAGATGAAAAGGGATTTGTTTTGTTGCATAGTCGTAGGAGTTTTTCTAATGTGTGCAGCAAAATGGATGCTCAGTTTGAGGTTTTGATGTGGGGTATTGAAAGTATGAGAAGTCATAACTTGGGAAGAGTGTTTTTTGCGATCCAAGCTGACGAGTTGGTGGGGGCTGTGAATAGGCCGATGGCTTGGTCATCCTTTTACTTTTACTCATCTGAAGCTAGGGAACTTTTGAAAGGGATCATTGACTGGAAGTTGTCTAAGGAGTCTGTCCTTGCAAATAGAGGGGCATCTCTCATTGCTCAAAGTGTCATTTCTGATCTAAGGTTACATTCTTATGTTGCCTCAGGTCATCCGTTTTGGCTTAATCGTTTATTTGAGGATGAGAGAGCTCTTGCCTCTTTTTGAGTTGCAACGTATCGGTTCCCGTTTGGATCATATGTGGTGAGTCCATTCTTTTGTATAGGCATTTTGATGTGTTCAAAGGTGCTAGTTTGGTAGATGTAGTAGAGAAGTTATTTTCTCTCCTTGTGTGGCTGAAAGACTTCTTTTTGTGTAAACTGTATTCCACCTTTTCTCTAATATAATTCCAGAGGAAAAACGGTCTATTTCCCCCCGAGAAGTATCGCATCATAACAGATAGAGCCCAATCTTTGACCCCGGTCCTAATGTCCCTGAAATGGAAGTTCAACACCTAAATGTCCCCGAATCGAAAGTTCAACACTTGAATGTCCCCGAATCGAAAGTTCGAGAGCTAATACCACACAGAGATGGGTTTAATCGGTTTACTGTATTCAAAAACGATTTACGAACCAACTAAACCTAATTATAACCCGAGTAAACCAGATTTTGCCCAATTACGACCCAATTTACTCTCTAAAATCGAAATCCCCAAACAAAACCCTAAAAAAAAAATCCCCAAATCGAAAAGAAAGAACCCTAGAGAGAAATTGCGATTTTGTTGATCTAATCTGCTGCTCAAACTCCATCAACAGTCTACTCTTGTCATCACCACTTAGTTCCAAAGATGAGACATAAATTTTGGTTGATGAAATCAATGTGGTCTTCGATATTGATAAGCTTTGATTAGTCTCTCTTCTTCTCCATGACGATTTCTAAGATTGATGAGATTAACCAAACGATCTGGGATGCAAGTATTCAGAGTCTTTCCTCATCCTTAGTTCAGTTTCTTAATCGCTTCTTTGTAACTTCAAATTCGATTGATTTTCTGTAAATTCACTCATTATTGACAATTGCTTTTGTGAAACTTCAAATTGGGGTTTTTTTTTATCGTGAATTCGTGATTTTATAAGTTCTCTTCAAACTCTGTTTTTTATGGATTCGATGTGGTGAAGATGAATACACTGAACATGGATGGGAAGAAGAAGAAGAGTAAAGTGAAAAGATCTAGCTTTGTTGAGGAAGAAGATGATAACAAGTATCATCATTGGCTTGATCGCAAGGAGAAGAGGGAAATCGGCGGTTATGGTAAAGGTAAAGGTTGTGGTGGTGGTGTAAAAGCTGATTCTTCGACGAGGATTGGTGTTGGGGCAACGGCGGCGGGAACGACGAAGTTTCCATGGAGCAACATGAGATTTGTTGGTTTATGAGCAGATTATTATGAAATTATTGATTTGTATTTCTTTAGCTATCAAATTATGATTGTGTTGTTGAATTATTGAGGAACTTTGATAATTATTGGGGTTTGAAATCGAAATTGGGGATTTGGAATTTAGGGTTCTAAATTTGGGGATTGTGAGGTTTTGAAATCGAATCTGGGAAATATGAATTCGAGACTGGGTCGGGTTACGGGATATAATCGGATATTTAATCGGTTTGGTTTTGGGAATACATGGTTTGGTCTCGGGTTTACAGCTAAAACCGACGATACCCAGATTCAGGGACATTTAAGTGTTGAACTTTCGATTCGGGGACATTTAGGTGTTGAACTTCCATTTCAGGGACATTAGGACCGGGGTCAAAGATTGGGCTCTATCTGTTATGATGCGATACTTCTCGAAGGGAAATAGACCGTTTTTTCAATTCCAAATGATCAAAAAAAAAGACTTGAAACAAATCAAGAGCGTATATGTCATTTTTATTTTATATTCTCCTTTCTCTCCTTGATTTCAGAACACGGAAACTGTGAAAGCATTTTTCTAATTAAATAAAAATGAAACAACAATCTCATTCTTTTACTTTTCTGTTTATTTTTTGGTTTATATATTATACTTTTTTCTCGACAAAGAAACAATCCCAAAACAGAAGGGGGCGAAATCAATCACACACACTGTTTAGAGTTTGACCAAAAGTGATCAATGGGTAATCTTCTATTTATTGATAAGACATTGTTATATTTTGGAATTGTTTGATAAGTGTAATCATATTTCTACACCTTCTTTCATTAAATTTAATAAAAGGGATTCATTAATTTAGGAAGAAAAAACAGGTCAAACATGGATTAACAGTTAACTAATACAGCTCCTTACTGATAAACAGACACATAATGGACGATTAAAATATGAAATAGTAGAATCCAACTATCTTATATATGAAGGGGATCAAAATTGAATCAGATGCTTTTCACACTATAGATTCTTTGATCCAGCTAGAGCCGTATGTAAGTGAAAATCATAAACAACAAATTAATAGTAGATAAATGCACACATAAAAGTTAGGGTTTTTTTTTTTATATATGTATATAAAATAAAAATAGATGGATTAATGAATTGGAAAGCACTGAGAAATAGATATATGGTGAGATAAAATAATGGAAAGAGTTGATAATAATATAAAGAAAGAGGGACGAGTGTGGTTTCCACACGAATAGCACCACATTTCACCATCATCATCACTTGTTTGCACACACACGTACGTAGACATCTACCTAGATGTTTGTTCATGTGTATGCATGCATACGTAGTCGCCTACGTACATATATGCCAGCATATTTTTAACATTCCGGAATTTTGAATTTATATCTCATATCATATAAGTGCAATATTTTTTTGGTTTTCTCTATGATTCACACACTACATACAAATATATACCGGATAGATTAATCGGAAATAATTACACAATGAAGACACTAGTCGATATTAATAAATTACAAACCGTATACGAATTATGATATCACGTATGTTTCTATGAATTCAATAAATTGATATCTATAATGTTAGAATACATGGTATTATAAAGTCCACTATCTCAAATATTTTAAAAGCATTGTGTAAAATGCTATAGTCTTTGTAGAGAGGCTTGAAAAACAAAATTTAATCTGGTTTTCGTAATTTGGATTAGAAAAATTGATCCTAAAATAAACAATAATCTATATGTTTTTTTTTTAAATAATAATCTATATGTTGAATCAATGTATATCCCTTAGTCTCTCCCTATGTAGTAGTGAAAAGTATGTTATTATATTGTGCCTTTTATATTGAAAATGAAGGAAATAGACATATGGATTTCAACTTTACTAGTGTGGTCCAAGTCCTAGTCCTACTCGTGAAACGCTAAATATCATGAAAATTCGGAATACTTTCTGTTATTAACAGTTTAAGACGCACTTAATTTTGTTGTGTCGATGGTTAATCTAGTAATCTACGCGTCGAAACCTGTTTTTTTTTAAAAAAAAAAGCATAGAGACTCGAATAGATAAATTTTCTGTAGGCTTGAAAATAAAGAGTCTGGTGCAAATCATTTTCAAATGATAGCCACAAACTTACAAAAATATTAAAATTACAATTCTTGTCTAAATAAGTTAATATAGCAGAAAATTTGAAACTTAACTGGGCCAAATATAATGGGCTTAACATATGTTGATTGATGAATGGGCGTAACGTAACACCAATTAATAGAAGAAATACATGTAAAGCCATTTCCAAAATATTGACCCGTTTGCGAATGTGATAATAATTATGATCGCATCTCTTTTTGGAAATATAAAAATAATTAGAAATAGACAAGTTGACAAGTGTTCTTTGTCCATTCTGATCCAAAATTCAATCTGCTTCTTCGTGGAACTGACTCTTTAGGAAAAGTTTGCCTTGCCATGGGACATGCTTCTCCAATCTGAAATAGACAGGTCTGTGACGTCTTGGAGCTGTCTTCAGTCTTGGCCGAGACACTTGTGCAGTCAAGACGGACACACCTGAATCCACCAACTAATATCTTTGTCTGAATATAAATAATTGCCAAAACATTTAAAGACATTTCATACTCTCTATATATGTCGATGGAAATTGTTTGTTTATTCCGGAAAGTCTTGAGAAGCTCAAAACCAAGAAATGTTTTTGAATTTCTGGGGTTTTTATTGGGTATATATCTGGAAAAAACAATCGAGAACTGCAAAATCTTGTTTCAAGTTGTAAGTGAATTTACTATAAAAGTCAAAATTCAACAGTAGGGATTCATTCAACTTAATTTCATCACTAATATTAGACGGACCAAGTGAATATAAAAATAATTATATATATATATCATTCATCTACAATATCATTTTTTTGTGACATTAATGATATGTACATGAAGATATATTTATATATTCACTTGGTCCGACTTGGTCCGTCGCGTATAATAGTGATGAAATTAAATCAAATCTCTGCTTTGAATTTTGACTTATATATCGTCTTTACTTCGAGCAAGATTTCAGCAGCCACCTCTTACTTTTCCACGGTACACTATTCAGCAACCTAGCTGGACCGGCAACGCTAGCCTACAATAATTTATAAGAAAATATTATAAAATTAAATTTAATAAAGAGAGAAATATCTAAGCTTAGGCCTTTAGCTATAAAAGGTAAAACAAAGGTGCACCAAAAATATACTAAACCAATATCATCCCAACAATACAAAGAAGAAACACACACACATACACTCTCAATACATCTTTCCTCGCTTCCGATCAGTGAGATCACGTAGAGTGCCTTGAAGGAGAAGAAAGAGAGAAAAATGGGATACTTTATTGGAGAAACCGTAAGCTCTAACTCTAAAACCCCATTTGTTATTGATGATGATAACGACTTGGGTTTGATGGCCGTGAGACTAGCCAATGCTGCTGCCTTTCCAATGGTTCTCAAAGCCGCCCTCGAGCTTGGTGTCTTTGACACTCTCTACGCCGAAGCCTCTCGCACCGACTCGTTCCTCTCACCCTCTGAGATAGCGAGTAAACTACCAACTACACCTCGTAACCCTGAGGCGCCGGTTTTGTTGGACCGCATGCTTCGTCTACTCGCTAGCTATTCTGTGGTCAATTGTGGTAAGGTCTCAGAAGGAAAGGGTGAGAGGGTCTACAGAGCCGAGCCAATTTGCAGGTTCTTCTTGAAGGATAACATTCAAGATATTGGATCCCTTGCTTCTCAAGTCATTGTCAATTTCGATAGTGTCTTCCTCAATACTTGGTAATTTTCATTATTCATGGATGTCTTATAATTCTTAAAGAAGTGGCTTCATATTCAATGAATCTTACGATATTGATACATCATTTTTGCAGGGCACAATTGAAAGATGTGGTGCTAGAAGGAGGTGATGCATTTGGCCGCGCACATGGTGGTATGAAACTCTTTGACTATATGGGTACGGATGAGAGATTCAGCAAGCTCTTTAACCAAACCGGTTTTACCATTGCGGTTGTGAAGAAGGCTCTTGAGGTTTACCAAGGTTTCAAAGATGTGAATGTGTTGGTTGATGTAGGAGGTGGAGTTGGTAACACCCTTGGTGTTGTTACTTCTAAGTATCCCAATATTAAGGGTATCAATTTTGATCTAACTTGTGCCTTGGCACAAGCACCCTCTTACCCCGGTGTGGAGCATGTTGCCGGAGATATGTTCGTAGATGTCCCAGCCGGAGATGCTATGATCTTGAAAGTAAGTTCAACAACTTATTACTTATATGTTTTGGAAATGTATACATGTTAGGATTTTATACTTACGTGTGTTTAAATATGTTTTTACAGCGTATACTTCATGATTGGACCGATGAAGATTGTGTCAAGATTCTTAAGAATTGTTGGAAATCACTACCAGAAAATGGTAAAGTGGTTGTCATAGAATTAGTCACTCCTGATGATGCAGAGAATGGAGACATCAACGCAAACATTGCCTTTGACATGGACATGTTAATGTTTACCCAATGTTCTGGTGGAAAAGAGAGATCAAGAGCTGAGTTTGAAGCTTTGGCAGCAGCTTCTGGCTTCACCCATTGCAAGTTCGTTTGCCAAGCTTATCACTGCTGGATTATTGAGTTCTGTAAATAAAATGTGTGAAATGTAAAACTAAATCGTCGTTAATAATAATTTGCATCTTTGTTGCCATTTTCTCTTGATATCTTTGTCATCGAGTAATAAAAGAGTTTAGTCATTGTCCCTTGAACTGGTTTTATCTACTCATTCGAAATTGATTATTCACTAACAACTCACAAAGTCACAAGTGCATATTCATTACTCAATGGTCGGCTGTTTTCTCTTCATTAGCTGTTGTATCCCTAGCAGCAGAAAATATGACTACCTCTCTAATTTATTGTATCAAATCTTTCTGTAATTGCACAGGTAAAAGCTAGAGAGAATTAATCTTCGTCTTGGAAATTTTCATAGGATATAAGATTTTTACAATTCAATGGATTTTTTTATCTAAAAAAAAAAAGTCAATGGATTTAATCAAAGTTCATTGACTTAATTTCATCACTATTGAATATTGATATAAGAATTTTTATAGTAACAAAAAAAAAGATACAGGATCTTTAGCCACTTTTTACTCTTTTAACTTTAACAACGACCGTCATGTTTAAAAGCTTATAAATATATAAAGCTATAATCCCCCATACGGATTTCACTTGAAAAGGCAAATATGCCAAAAAGCTAAACCAGCATTGTAGTGATATTATATTCTTTAATCTTTACAAAAACAATATTTTTGATTCCAGAACCATCAAACTGTCGGACTGTATCTAATCGATTCGAAATTCTTATAGACGAAATTTCTTATAGGTTTTAGACAGAAAAGTACCTAAAAATCAACTAAGATTCCCCAATTGATGTAGGCTAATCGATCCAAACAAAATCTTTGATCTAGTCCAATTAAGTTTCATAAACTTCTAAACAATATACAAAATCATAATTTTAGATATAAACTTTTTATATAGTCATAATTTCATAAAGATAATATTGTTTATAATGGTCAGACAAAGACTATAGCCGTTCTTGACTCAGACCTAGTCCTACGCAATTTGAGATTCCTCGGCGACTGCATTCGGATATTGGTTGGGGAAAATAAAACGTCACTCTTAATTAGTAAGAATTATTTTTAATAAGAGTAGCAACGATACATTAATATAATTATTTTTGCTAAATCAAACTTTGTGACTTTCCTGGAATCAAACCGATGTTCCAATTCAAAATAGACTAACGGCCGAAAAGGGACTGGCTGCGGACTCCATAATAAAGTGACAATTGTGATGTTACATGAATTTGGTCCAAATCTCCAAATGAACCTATTTTATCAAAACGGACGGCTTTAATATTTAAAGATTTTTTTTTTTGTCGTCTAGATTTATTATGGAAGCCCATTTGGCTCATTGGTTGACCAATGGTTGATTAATGCTTCTATACCAAAAGGTCTGGGGTTCGAGTCCCAGGTTTTGCGATTTATTAACAAATTTGCAGATTAATGGAGGCAAGTGTGCAAGAAATCTCCAGCGATGTACAATTATAGCCGTTCGCCAGGATTCTACGCAGAGAAGAAAGTGTCGCCAGGTCGTGGATCATTGAATGTATTCATCAAGATTACGAAGAAAGAAGTGTAGTCTGTCATGAATCTAGTAAGGGTTGGAAGGAATTGACAGTTGTAGAATCGTCTATGTAACAGTTCTCATAATTTGCAATTAATAATAAATCTAGACGACAAAAAAATATATTTAAAGATTAGCATGTTTTTTTATATATATTAACGAGGTTCAAACTTTCTTGAAATAATTAGAAATTCTAGAAATATTCAAAACAATTTGTGAAAAATAAATTTAGAAATATAATATACTCAAAACAATTTGCTAGAAAAATATAATAAATTTAATTTGCTAGATAAACAAAACCTGGACATCAATTAATAAAATTAATAATATTGATAAAATAATTACGTGAAATATTGATCTCAAACGTATTTTGGAAGAAAAAAAACGTAACATATTATTTTATCCAATCATTATGATACGTCGACGTAAAATTTTGTCATTAAAATTATTTTGCATCATTGCATGTACATCTTAAATTTTCAACTATCTTACAAATCAACTCAAATTGTTAGTCTTCCATATAAGAAATTGTTTGTAAATTTGAAGGAAAATTACAAAAGCAACAATAATAGAGAGAATCATTTTCCTTGGCCCAGTCCTTGGTCGTCGTATCAAGTGGTAGTGTGGTACCTATCACCTATGCGTGACTCTGAGTGGCACCCTTGTAATAAATTAAATTAATCCCCTTGTCGATGAAGAAAGACAAAAACATTTTTGCGCTGAGATACCGATAATTTCGATTTTACTGGTTACTTAATTATAAATGCTATTCAAGCTGCGAGAAAAAAAACAAAGATAATACTAATTTAGACACTTGGTCAGACTAATAGAGTAATAGCGATGAAATATTAGTGAATCTCTCCTTTGAACATTGACTTTTGGTATGTCCACTAATAGCTCTTACCTTTCTACACAGAGACTACTCAGTCAGCCCCCGAGATGGACCGGCAAGCCAACAATAATATATACGTGAAAATATTATGAAATTAAATAAAATAAAGAGAAAAATATCTTAGCCTTAGCTATAAAAGGAGAAACAAAGATACATCAAAAATATACTAACTCATCATCCCAACACTACAAAGAAGAAACACACTCTCTAGAGATCTCTCAGTACATCTGATCACGTAGACTGCCTTGAAGGAGAAGAAAATACAAAAAGAAAGAGAAATGGGATACCTTTTTGAAGAAACCTTAAGCTCTAACCCTAAAACGCCAATTGTTATTGATGATGATAACGAGTTGGGTTTGATGGCCGTGAGACTTGCCAATGCCGCCGCCTTTCCAATGGTTCTCAAAGCTTCCCTTGAGCTCGGTGTATTTGACACTCTCTACGCTGAAGCCTCTCGCACCGACTCGTTCCTTTCACCCTCTGAGATAGCGAGTAAGCTACCAACTCCACCCCGTAACCCTGGGGCTCCGGTTCTGTTGGACCGCATGCTTCGTCTACTCGCTAGCTATTCTATGGTCAAGTGTGGTAAGGTCTCAGAAGGAAAGCGTGAGAGGGTCTATAGAGCCGAGGCAATTTGCAGATTCTTCCTGAAGAATAACATTCAAGATATTGGATCCCTTGCTTCTCAAGTCATTGTCAATTTCGACAGCGTCTTCCTTAATACCTGGTAATTTTCACAAATCATCTCGGTAACACATCTTCAATGTTCGAATCCTTATTTATAAGCTATGAAATCTTACTTTATGGATACATAAATTTCAGGGCACAATTGAAAGATGTGGTGCTAGAAGGAGGAGATGCGTTTGGGCGTGCACATGGTGGCATGAAACTCTTTGATTATATGGGTACAGATGAGAGATTCAGCAAGCTCTTTAACCAGACCGGTTTTACCATTGCGGTTGTGAAGAAGGCTCTTGAAGTTTACCACGGTTTCAAAGATGTGAATGTGTTGGTTGATGTGGGAGGTGGAGTTGGTAACACCCTTGGTGTTGTTACTTCTAAGTATCCCAGTATTAAGGGTATCAATTTTGATCTAACTTGCGCCTTGGCACAAGCACCCTCTTATCCCGGTGTAGAACATGTTGCGGGAGATATGTTCGTAGATGTCCCAACCGGAGATGCTATGATCTTGAAAGTAAGTTTCATCAACTCTCCTATTCTTGGAAGTGTATGCATGCTAGTAGCTTGTACTTACATCTGGAACTATATATTTTTACAGCGTATACTTCATGATTGGACCGACGAAGATTGTGTGAAGATTCTTAAGAATTGTTGGAAATCACTACCAGACAACGGTAAAGTGGTTGTCATAGAATTAGTCACTCCTGATGACGCAGAGAATGGAGACATCAACGCAAACATTGCCTTTGACATGGACATGTTAATGTTTACCCAATGTTCCGGAGGAAAAGAGAGATCAAGAGCTGAATTTGAATCTTTGGCTGCAGCTTCTGGCTTCACCCATTGCATGTTTGTTTGCCAAGCTTATCACTGCTGGATTATTGAGTTCTGCAAATAAAATGTGTGAAATTATATTTAAAACAAAATCCTCATAATTGTTAATTTCATATATATATATATTTCAATGCTTTGTGTGAAATGGTCATGCCTCTCTCTTTGTCTTTTGAGCAATATGAAATAAAAATGATCTTTATTTTTATTTTTTCACTATACCCTTTAAGAACCAGTTTATAGTGATATTGGATTCTTTTTCAAGATTTCACGAATATATTGTCCGTCTCTTTGGGTTGTAAACTACCTAGTCCCCACCCTATTGAAGCCACCAAACCATGAATCTCATTTTTTTTTTCCAATTGGCACGGGTGTATGGATCTAGCCTGGCTAATCCAAAGGTAAACAAGTTCACTAGATGTCGATAGTTCAATTGGAAAAATATCCTGGAAAAATATCGTGGAAAATTCTAAAAAGTCACATAATTAATCGAGTGACAGCTGATATGGTACAAATATTAAAAGCGGGTCCAAGTCTAGGAAGTTAATGTATATGTTTCGGTCCGAAATTTCCTAGTTTACAAAAAAAAAAAAAAAAGTTAACAAACTCATTGGTAGGAGTTTCGTGCATGTAAGCTCATCTCGGCTAAAATATTGTGGCCACACGCACAACGATTTTGGTCGAAATGTGGAATAGAATTTGAAACCTCTGCAAGTTTAAGCCATAAGACATGGATATCTTCGATGCCCACGCGGGTTAACATAATTCTCGTATTTTTGTTAAAGGGTTTAATATGAATCTGATTTATTCTCGCTATACGTAAATAGGAGGAAATCATATTATGGAAAAAAAAACAAAATAATCGATTGTGACTTATGAGCTTAGAAAAACTGTCGGTCTAACATACTCAAAAATTTCGCAAACGCAAGATGTTTCTGAACAAGATGATTTAAATTTTGACAATGAAACCTTAAACCCTAACGATAAAACAATAAAGAAATCATGAGACGAGCTAGTATCTCATAACAACCTCTAACAATTGAAATGAAAAAACAATAAAATATGATATTGTCCATGTCACACAAAGGAATGCAGATAACGGAAAATTTGATTATTGTGATATGTCATCGCACCAATGTTGTTTCTTGTCTCAATAATAGCAGTGACCAACAAATGATATTTTACTAACAGCAAGCTCATCGAGTTTGATTTAATATAATCAACCATGTCATAAAGATAATATTGTTAATAATGTCCAAAGTGATTGTCCGGTTGTGATGTCAAAGGATCGCCGTTGTTGACTCAGACCTATTCATACACAATTTGATAGTCTTACAGTAACATTCGCTCGGATACTCAAATTAACATAAGGTGGTCCATTATGTGGCTATTTAAAAAATTTCAGGTCTCTTGTAATTATTGGACTAATTATCCCTAAAATATATAGTGATTGAGTCTAAGATAATGATTAATGAAGTTTGACTCTAACAATTTGTGACCTTCCTGGAAGGAAAATTCAAGATGGAGGCCACTAATATGACAAGATTAAAGCATACAGTATTTGATATTTCTTTCCCCATTCCTTACGCTTATTCGTCCTAATACGCGTGTCGCTGTGTTATATGTCAATCAAATTGACGAGAAAATAAACAAATGAAAACAGATCATTCGCTTAGACCATCTACAATGGTGCTTTAAATTTCACTTTTTCCTTCATTTTAAAGATATAAATGAAGAAATCTTCTCCAATGGTGTTTCATTTTTACCTTCAAAATGAAGAAGTGAATAGTGTATCTTCATATTTGAAGGTATACTATTCATATCTTCATATTTTGAAGATGAACTTTTTATTTACAAAATGATCCTTTAAATTATAAGAAATTTTTCTTTTATACCAAACAAATTATTTATTTATATTTTATCCAATTAGTTTATAAATTTTATTTTTTTATTTTATCCAATCAAATTAAAATGCAATGATAACTTCTATTAAATGGAAAAACAACAAAATATTCAATATAAAACTTAAAATACATAATTAATACCGATATTAATGATAAAATAAACATAACATAACATAGAGTAACAACTTAATAATTTGGTAATGCGCTTCCGGATCTATTAAGATACTTAAAATATTGCTCAAATGTTTACTGTAGATAAAATTTGTTGAACTATTAGTTAACCATAAATAAATGGGGCAAAATTTATAAATTTAGAAAGTAAAGGGCATTGTTAATAATTTATAATGAAAGAAAGATAGAATATACTTAGGGGGTGTATTGAAGAAAGAATTTGGAGTGATTTGAGTTTTAATGAGTTTTGAGATGATTTTGGTGAATTTTGGTGAATTAGGGAATTTGATATCAAAACTCTCCCAAATTCCACCTAAAACCATGGGATTTGGATATTTGAATTTTTAAATATTCACTATTTGATGAGATTTGGATCAGAAAGCTCCATAATTGGTTAATCTATGATGATTTTAATAACAAAGGCTTTTTAAATCTTTAGGAAATATTTTTTGCATGTTTCAACAAGCTTTTGTTACTATCACTCTAGCTTGACATCTTTCTGTGTGTGACGTTTTATGAATCTAACATTTAAGGAACATTGTTGTTGCAGCTGAATGGTGGAACAGACTGTGGCTAGAGAACATATCAAAGCGAGAGTCATGTCATTGGTGAGGCCAGCTGAGCCATCCGCTACATCGTATAGGAACCCGAAGCTTTACTCGTTGAATGATAATGGTAACAACAATGGTGTCACTTCTGCTCAAATCTTTGATCCAGACAGGTCCAAGAACACTTGTCTGACTGATGATTCTTACCCAAGCCAAAGTTATGAGAAGTACTTTCTCGATTCGCCACCAGATGAGTTTGTACAACATCCTATTGGCTCTGGTGCCTCGGTTCAGCTCATTTGGCTCTTTGGACTCGTTTCCGTATCAGCCAAGACCGGTTCTTGGATGTTCCATGGAATTTCAGTTGCCGTTTGATTCAACTTCTACTTCATCTACGAGGCTTTTGGGAGATTACCAAGCGGGTTCTTACAGTCCGAGCATGGATGTGGTGGAGGAAGAGTTTGATGATGAGCAAATGAGATCAAAGATTCAAGAGCTTGAAAGAGCTCTTCTCGGCGATGAAGATGAGAAAATGGTTGGAATAGATAATCTGATGGAGATTGACAACGAATGGTCGTACCAAAACGAAAGTGAACAGCATCACGACTCGCCCAAAGAATCATCATCTGCAGATTCCAACTCTCATGTAAGTAGCAAAGAAGTGGTGTCGCAAGCCACTCCAAAGCAAATCTTGATATCTTGTGCTCGTGCGCTATCCGAAGGGAAAGCAGAATTAGCTTTGTCAATGGTAAATGAGCTGAGGCAGATTGTTTCGATCCAAGGAGACCCTTCTCAGAGAATCGCAGCTTACATGGTGGAAGGTCTAGCTGCAAGAATGGCTGCTTCAGGGAAATTCCTCTACAGAGCATTGAAATGCAAAGAGCCTCCTTCTGATGAGAGGCTTGCAGCTATGCAAGTCCTCTTTGAGGTCTGTCCTTGTTTCAAATTCGGGTTTTTAGCAGCTAATGGTGCGATAATTGAAGCAATCAAAGGTGAAGAGGAACTGAGGAAGTTCACATAATCGATTTCGATATTAACCAAGGGAACCAATACATGACACTGATACGGTACGTTGCTGAGTTACCCGGTAAACGTCCTCGCCTGAGGTTAACCGGAATCGATGACCCTGAATCAGTCCAACGCTCAATCGGAGGGTTAAGAATCATTGGTTTAAGACTGGAACAACTTGCAGAGCAGTGCCTTCAAAGACTTCAATTGTCTCTCCATCGACACTCGGTTGCAAACCCGGAGAAACCTTAATTGTGAACTTTGCATTCCAGCTTCACCACATGCCAGACGAGAGTGTCACAACAGTGAACCAGCGGGACGAGCTACTCCACATGGTCAAAAGCCTGAACCCAAAGCTCGTCACAGTCGTTGAACAAGACGTGAACACAAACACTTCCCCGTTCTTCTCCAGATTCATAGAGGCTTACGAGTACTACTCAGCGGTTTTCGAGTCTCTAGACATGACACTTCCAAGAGAAAGCCAAGAGAGGATGAATGTAGAAAGACAGTGTCTTGCTAGAGACATTGCCAACATCGTTGCTTGCGAAGGAGAAGAGCGGATAGAGAGATACGAGGCTGCCGGAAAATGGAGAGCAAGGATGATGATGGCAGGATTCAATCCAAGACCAATGAGTGCTAAAGTAACCAACAATATACAGAACCTCATAAAGCAACAGTATTGCAATAGGTACAAGCTTAAAGAAGAAATGGGTGAGCTCCATTTTTGCTGGGAGGAGAAAAGCTTAATCGTTCGTTGCTTCAGCTTGGAGGTAAGATAAAGTAAATCAAGTCAGTAAATCAACAACCTCAAAAAAGAGTAAAAAATTGAAAGAGACACAATAATTGATTTGCTTACCATGATGGAGAGTGGAGAAGCGTACATGATGATGGAGAAAACAGTGGCTGCGATACCACAGAAGAGTTTTCTTGAGTTTCCATGGAGGGCAGAGAGAGAGACGAGAGCTACTGTTGCGAATACGGCCAAGACGCAAGTGAAGATACCAAAGATCTTTGCTTTCTCCTTCTTTGGTGCGTAGAAAAGGAAGATTAACACGTAGATTATCTCAATCGCTGCTCCTGTGCCATTGATTGTGCTCACAAGTAAGTTGTCTTTTGACACAAATGGAAGCCCGTACCTGAGAAAACAGAGCAAACATCAGAAAAACAGAGGAATCAGAATTAAGAGTGATTTTTTACCAAGCGGAGAGGAGACAGTTGAGGAGAGTCATTGGGTAAGGAATACCAGAGAATTGTTCAGTTGATTTGTTCTTGATGATTCTCTTGAATGTTATCCTAATTTCATTCACGAACAAAGCAAAAATAAAGAGGAAATCTTTGAGTTTTTTTCTTGGTTAATTAGCCGTAAACACATGAGAAACTATGGAGAACAAAACAACAATTTAGGCAAAGGAATTGAGAGAATCGTCAAAAATCGGTTCACGAGAAAAGATAGAGAGAGAGAGGATGAGAATACGTACGAAGGAGCCAAGAAGAGAAACAGAGCAGTTGCATTTCCTGTAAAAGTAGAAAAACGACGAATACGATAGCCTCAGAAACAACTCATGGAGAAAGAAGAAGAAAGAGAGAGAGGTTGAGGAAATGGGTTTACCGAAAACGCCGAAGATGGTGTGAGCGAGATTCATCTTTTGATCTTTAAGGTGACTAAAGATTTGTGTTTGTAAGCCGAGAGAGAAAGTGAGAGAAAATGCGAGAGAATGCAAGTAATAAGTGTTTCTAATCGGCAAGCGTATTCCTCAGGTATATATCGAGAACCGGCGTGTGCCAACCGCGAAACACCAATATTTACAAAATTAAAAGATATATTTATGAAATTAAATAACTAATCAGAGCTTTTTTCTATATATATATTTTGTATTATTAGAATTTGAAAAATAATAGACGAATAAAAAAATAAAAAATTGAACAAAACTTATTAAAAAAAGTATTTAAAAGAACAATGAGGAACATTTTCTAATTTTTTTTTTTTTTTTTAGAGTTTATTATTATGAATTTTAGTATACACTAAACATATCTTTCTCTTTTGTTACTTAAAATATTTTTTTGGGAAAACGAAAGATTTATCTGATACTTGTTTCGTCCTCCAGAAGTGAACCCAACCCTCTGGATGGTACGTTCCTTCGGTTAGAGCTCAGAGCCTTGTGACGGATTTTGTAATTTTCTTTTTCTTTTAAGATATAAACGATTTTGTTTTCTTTTTCCTTTTCTTTTTGTTAGAAATAAACGATTTTGTTAATTTGTATTAGGCCTGCGCATAAAATCCGAAATCCGAAAACCGATCCGAAACCGATCCGAAAAATCCGGCTCCGAATCCGAACCGAATAGTCACAAAACCCGAACGGATAATAAATTCTCCTATCCGAATTATCCGAATCGAAAACCGAAAGGATATCCGAAAACCGAAAATAAAATTATATATCCAAAAATATTAGTTATATTTAGCTATAATTTTATAACAAATAACAAAAATATCCTAAATAACCTAGATATTGGAAAGTTTTTAGTTATATTTGTTAATATTATACATATTTTTTGAAAACTTAGCCAAATTTTAGTAAAATTAAACTATTTTTTAATCTAAATTGAACATTTTTTTAGTTTTTTTTCTCGAAAACCGATCCAAAACCGATCCAAAACCGATCCGAATCCGACACTATCCGAACCGAACCCGATCCGAATAGTCATAAAATCCGAACGGATAATAAAATCTCATATCCGAATTATCCGAATCCGAATAAATCCGAACCGAATCCGATCCGAAATCCGAATGCCCAGGCCTACATGAAATATTCATTCCTGTTTTTTTTGAAGAGCTCACATGTCACAAGTCACAAGTCACAAGTGCATATTCATTACTCCACGGTCGGCTACTTTCATTTTGTTTCCTTCCTCTTCCACTCACGGGAAACAACCAACGGCTACTTCTCTAATTTAATGTTTCATTCTTTGAGAATCTTGTTCACGGAAATCTTCACATGCTTTTAAAATTTAATGTTCAAGTCTCCTCCATTTATATGCATTTTAAATAGTTAGAAAATAAGAAAAGGATAGGATATACCGATATAGTATAGTACAACTCAATTAAAGCTAACCATACCATATGCTTATTTCTTAGAGAGGGGACCCAAATTCTGAAAAGAAAATCTGAGACATATGAGTGAAAGTAGTAGTGGTGACCACAAAGAAAAGAGAGACACGAACTCAGAAACAAAAACTAAGGCACATTGATTTTATAAAAATGCACATCAAAATAAAAATAAATAAACCCTAAGATTCTAACAAGAGCCCTACCATAAGCGAGACAGAAACAGAAAAGCTAAAGAGAGAATGATTACACAACACTAAAGTTAAGTTGTTGGATTAACAATAAGATCAGAAACGTAATCATTCTTCCATTAACAGCTCTGTTTCTCTACAGAAGAAGGAAAAACATGGCTACACAACACAAACCTAGCTTCACCTTTAATGTCATCATCATCACCTGCACACACACAATCAAACATTTCTATTAAATCAAATCGTTTTGTATTTGAAAAAAGAATTAACCTTTTTACTTGTTGTTGTATGTGAATGTACCTGATGAGCTGAATTAGTGGAAGTTGGTAAAGGGTTAATGGAAGTAGAGTCGACTTCTCCGGTGGGAAGAGGAACCGCCGGATTACTGTTAATGAACGGAACTCCGTCTTTACCGGGGACTGTCACAGACGTGATCTCTGATGGAGATGGTCCCGGAGAGAAAGCTGAACCTTCTCTAGGACCTAATGGCCAAGGGTAAGAAGAAGGAGATGAGATCACTCCTCCTTCAGAAACCGGAACAGGGGAGATTGCCGGTGGTTGCGATGGCGGTGATGCCGCGGAGAGGATGACTTGGACTGTGAGCTTCTGGTTGAGTTGGCAAGTTCTGGGAAGAGATGTGTTGTTTGTGAAGGAAAAGTAGTAAGAGCCTGTTCTTGATGGATACCACTGAAAAAAAACAAGACATTGGGTTAAAATGTAGTGCAGTTTAACAAATAGTGTTACTTAACTGTGACTGTCAATGGATTGAGGAAAATTATCATGTAATTGGGATAAGAAAATCAGAAAAAAGTAGATCATTACAGTGAAATTAAAATTTTGGAAAATTCGACTTTTTAAGAAGGTAAAAGGAAGAATTAAAGTTCAGAATTAAGATGATTCTTAATAGCGATTATCATTGAGCCCTGAACATATGACTTTTTGAGTGTATTAATCTAATAATTTTTCAATTCTTTTTGTCAGAACAAAGCATTGGATTTCAAGTTCTATTAATATATGCACTGAAACTATTAATTAAAAATAAATAAAAACAGAGGAAAACAGGGGAAGAGGAGCTTTTTTGTCAATCTCAAGAACAGAGAGAAAAAAGGGGTTTGTAAAAAAAGATCACAACTTTATGAAATTTCTGAGAAAACCCAGATGAAATTAACAATCTTTGTAACGAATTAAGAAATGTGTACCGAGAAGGAAGTGGAATTAGGTTTTGTAAGAAGAGTGGCTTGTGTAAAGTCGCAGACATTGAATGCATCTTTGTTTCTGAAGATGTAGAGATCGTATCCGTACTTATGTCTGAAAACTAAAGTAAGATCACACCATTAATATTAATTATGAGAAAAATCTAACAAAAAATAGGAAAATTAAAGGACTGGTTCTTGTAAAAAGAACACTTACTAACAGAGTCGCCGACATGAACAGTGGGGGTTTTCCAGACAGAGACACCGTCGACGAGAAAAGTGGCGGAAAAAGAAGGACGAGAGAAGAGAGAGAGGAAGCCAAAGAAGTAGAAGAAGAAGAAGAGCATTGAGGAGGTGAGATGTTTCTGAGACCAAACCATGTTAATTAGCTTGAAATGAGGAGGTTCGTAGGTTTAAGAGAGATTCTGAAATTAAAAAAAAAAAGTAAAGAAGCTTCAATGATGTCTACCCTTTTTATCTTTGCAGGCCTCTCTCTCACACATTTAGGTCAAAAGAGAGGTTTAGTGCCTATGGAGCTTAGGGAGAAGAGAAGGAGAAAAAGGGGTGAGAGATAGAGAAAGAAGTGTTTTGAGAAGTGTGTAGTGAGTGTCTCTGTCTCTTTTACTTTTATGTGTTGAAGAAATGGAGAAGATTGAGAATTTTGAGGACTGTTTTTTTTTTTTAATTAATTTGCTCCATAACTATACTTGAATTAAGAATGGAATGTTAATTAGTGTTAACAAGTTTGCATTTTAAATGACATTTTGACTAATGTAAGTCTATAACTAGTTTTTCTTGACTATAAGTTAATATCTTGTAATGCTTTAAGGTAAATAATAATATTAAAATTGTCTTATTAATCGAAAATTAACATTTAATCTTTCGTTTGAACTAAACTTCATCATAATACTCATGGTTTATTTTGGTTCAAGAATAAGATATGAATATACAGAAGAGAGAAAAAAAAAGGTGCCATCATTTTTATCACGGGAAATAATGCTCTGGTAGTAAAAATCTGACAAACAAAAGTGAACCAACAAAAAATAACATGTATAAATAAAAGTATACAAAAAAGAAAAGAGAGAAAAAAGTAATAAAGTGAGAATTATATAACAAGATAATGATGGTGATTATTATTCTTAAATCATTACGCCTGTGATTTAACCCCAACATGTTTCTTAAATCTTCTAACGTTTTGTTAATAAAAAAAAAACTTTTTTCATCTTTAATCAAACGAAAATAGACATACAATAACCATAACTTTTCGACTCGATCTAATATCGACACAACTTTATGGGCTGGAAGCAATTATACACATATCTTTGTTTTAGGCCAGAGGAGTCATCAATGCTAATCTTATCTTTTGTTAAGATAATGAGTGTATTATAAATTTCATTACATTAACATTTATATAACACACACGGTCCCTTGCCCCCATATAATTTTCAAATGATTATTATCACCTTAAAAGTTAAATAAATAATTGTATTTCGATTTTAGACATGTATTTTGCTAAAATCTAGTTGGTCTTTAATTGTCAGTAATTGTATCGACGGTAGAAGTTAAATTGTATCGATCAAGATCAATAAGTTCAACCACATGGTGGTGGGCGAGTGGTTCTCGTTTGGTTGGAAGGATCGCCCTGTTGGTCTAGGCCAGAGATCGATCCTCCCAGACGCAGTTTCGCTCTCTCACTCCTTTGGCCATCTGGGAATTTATTTGCGGACTTGCTCAGGCGCCCCAGACCACCAGTTTATCAGGGGCCCTTAAGTAGAGGTTAAAAATCCCTGTGACGCGGGCTTAGGCCCAGTGGATTAGTCAGATCACTGTGTGGTCTGGATACTGGGTTCTCAAAAAAAAAAAAAAAAAAAAAAAAAATCAATAAGTTCCAAACACAACTGTAATAGACAAAACCAAACATCTACTTCAAAACAAACAAAATAACAAAATTAAGCTTAAGGGATTTGTCTCTGCATGATTTTGTTTGTATCTTGTGTTTGATACTTATATAAAGGTAAGAAAATTTTCAAATTTATTTTGCAGTCTTCCAAGAATATGTATAGCAAATAATCGGAGAAAACAAATGGCACCGGCACGAGCATCGTGCACCTTTTACTTTATGTATAGAAAACCACACGAACCCGGAACACCACACAGCCTTATGTGTTACACGTCTCGTCGTATTTGTGTTTAGCTTTTTATGCTAAAACGACAACTACTACATGCCAAAACGCGAGCTTCGGCCACACCCCCAAAAATCTTTTGCTCTTCCTTTTGATGGACTTCTAGTTTAAACAATACTTAATCTTTGTTAATTTGGACTATATAAAAGAATAGTTTACGATACTAAAGTATTCGGTAAAATTTGAAGAAGAAGAAAGAACGTCGTTTTTGACGACAAATTCTAAAACTAAAATTTTTAAATACTAAAAAACATTAATTTGAATCTGATTCATCGACAAAACTTTAGATCATAATATTACGTTTAAATCAAATAAATAGACAAACAATTGCATGTAGATGTAGTTATAGTTTAGGTCCACAAAAATTGACCTCTCTTGGCTTTTATGTTTACAAGTTCAAGACAGGTCGGTTTAGAGCCTCAAGTTCAAGTTTCATCAAGATGTTTATGATCGTAAACTCTGAGCCGTTTAATATCTCTGCGACAGTACTTACTTATTCTATAATCTGGTAATTATAATCAATCAATGTATGATTTTGTATTACACAAATCTTTTGTAATAAGTTTAATATAGTTACTCTCCATTTCAATTAAGTTTCACTTCTTAAAGAGTTAAGATCAATCACTGTTTTTCACATACTAAAAAACTTAGGAATGGCATGTTTCATTTTCTTTTAAATCAATCATGAAAATTTGTCACACGGAGAAACCAGAAGGTCGAGCCTAAATTAGTAATCTCAAAAAATAATTAAAATGTGAAAGAAAAAAAAAAAAGTCTTCAAGTTAATGTACGTATTAGCGATTAGACTGATTTTTTTTAATATATAAAGCAGAGATGCTGACGAATAAACGCGTGGCGAATATTAATGGTCGACGGGATATTCAAATTAATCGTCAATTAAAAGAGAAAAAATAATAATTAATAAAAAAAAAAAAAAGAGAAGAAGAAAAGGAGCGGTTGAGTTGAAATTGGCTGGCGCGTACTCGTCAACGACGCGCGTGGAGTGTTTTCGTGTCCTCCTCCTCCTCACTTAGACAAAGATTTTCTATCTCGTTCGTTTGTGTGATCTGACCAGCGCGAAGAATCTCGGAGATCGTGATCGGATTGATTTGATAATGGTGAAGGAGACGGAGTTTTACGATGTCCTCGGCGTTAGCCCCACCGCTACGGAGGCTGAGATTAAGAAAGCTTACTACATCAAGGTTTCAATTCCAATCTCTCTGATTCTACGATTCTGTTTTTTTGTTAAAAGTTTTGTAATTTCTTAGCTAAAGAGTGTCGACTTTTGGTACGTACCCACGAGATTTGATCAGTTTCCCAAGTTGTGATTTTTTAGGTTGATAGATTTAGACGTTACGAATTGCTGCTGATTGTTGGCTTGTTTTGTCTCTTTATCTACAGGCACGCCAAGTTCATCCAGATAAAAACCCTAATGATCCTCAAGCTGCTCATAATTTCCAGGCAAGTTCTCTGATTTTCAATATTGTCAAGAGAAAAAAACACTACTATTGTTTATCTAGGACAAAACTTCTTTATCTTTAGTTTAAGTCTTAGGCTTCTTGGCTTATCATGTCTACATTTTGTGTTTTAACCATTCTCCTTTGTGCATGAGCACCGGGTTCTTCTACAAGATGCTTGGGTTTGTTGTTTTATCTGTTACCATGTAGAGAGCTGATCAAGGGATCGTTGTATTGATTATGTTCAGGGTACATCTCTATATATACATACAACAGGATGACTCTCAATATTTAGAGAGAAGGCTAGTCTAAGATTACAACAGATATAATATGTCAAGGAATATACTCTTCTCTTTAGTGTTTGCTTTGGATGGTATAGCTGTTATCATACTCTGTAAAAGCATATTAGCAGGACTACCAGTGACATTAGTTTTGTGGAAAATTCGGTTATCAAGAGATCAGCATAGTATGACAATGGTCTCAGTAGTCTTTCGTCATCTATTTTCTTCTTTGGTGATACTTTCTGGATGAGCTTTTTGAAAACTTAAGTTCTTATACAGGTGTTGGGAGAGGCCTACCAAGTGTTAAGTGATCCAGGGCAACGTCAGGCCTATGACACATGTGGGAAGTCAGGGATTTCAACGTAAGTGGCTTTTCTTGTTCTTTCTTGTGATAGTTTTATGGGTGCTTCGCTGTTTGCACCATTTGGAGTTCGATGACATGGATCTTGATCCTGTTGCTAAAGAATTTGGCCTGTTCCTCAGTTCTTACTTGTGATGTTCATTCTTGCAGTGAGATCATTGATCCCGCGGCTATATTTGCTATGCTTTTTGGGAGTGAACTTTTTGAAGAATACATAGGGCAGCTTGCTATGGCATCAATGGCGTCACTTGATATCTTCACTGAAGGGGATCAGATCGATACTAAAAAGATTATAGAAAAAATGAGGGTAAACATCATTTATTGATCTATCCTGCTTAAGAAAAGTCTTTGATCACCTTCCGTTCTTGGCATACTATACGTCAAAGCATAAAACAGGAGAAAGCATATCGAAATTTTCTCATCTCTTCTCACCCTCTATTGACATGTTAAAATATCTGTTCTTAAGAGGCAAGACATTTGTTTAGATTATCAGAAGGAATAAAAGAATTGTGCCATATTTTCCCCCTTTGTTCATAATTTCCTAAGCATGTTAGACTGCTTTTGGTTTCAGGCTGTTCAGAAAGAAAGAGAAGACAAACTTGCTCAGATTCTTAAGGACCGCCTCAACCTATATATGACGAACAAAGATGAATTTATTAGCAATGCTGAAGCTGAAGTAACAAGACTCTCTAATGCAGGTACGATGTTTTGTAGCATATTGTTCTCCGTTGGTAGTTTATGCTTTCTCTTTCAATCAATGCCATATCTGTGGTAAAAAAACTCAAACTTATCTACTTATTTTTCCATCTTCAACAGCATACGGGGTGGAAATGTTGAACACAATTGGATATATATATGTAAGACAAGCGGCGAAAGAGCTTGGGAAGAAAGCTATTTATCTCGGTGTACCATTCGTAGCTGAATGGTTTAGGACGAAAGGTCACTTCATCAAATCCCAAGTAACAGCTGCAACAGGTTAGTGACTTAGGTACAAAGGCGACCTCAACAACATCATGTTCATATTATATGCTAGAATTTGTAGTATGGGTTACATAAGGAACATTTAATTTAACTACTGAAAAAGAAACCCCAAGAACACTCGCCTAGCTTTCTAGAACTTGGTCTCCTCTCTTAGGGAGTAACATTTAGTTACTTTTCTTTTTCTGTCTTCCTAGGTGCATACGCTTTATTCCAGCTGCAAGAGGAAATGAAAAGGCAGCTAAGCGTTGAAGGCAATTATACCGAGAAGGAACTTGAAGAGTACATGAAGACCCATAAGAAAGTGATGATTGATTCTCTGTGGAAGCTCAATGTTGCTGATATCGAGAGCACTATCTCCCGTGTTTGTGAGCTGGTACTCTAGCTATAACTGTTCACTAGTTGACTGAAATAGCATCTTAGTCAATTTCTGTGTTGTAACCACTTTATGATTATTTTTTGTCCTAGGTACTTCAAGATCCCATTGCCAAGAAAGAGGAGCTTCGTGCAAGGGCCAAGGGGTTAAAAACTCTAGGGAAGATCTTCCAGGTAAATCTTTTTTCATCCCGTTCTTGGAGAATATACCACATATTTGTTCCAAATATAGTTTAAATGTAAAAAGGAAGGACTGATTGCAAAAAGGCTTTATTTTTGCGGTCATATAGAAGAACAAAATAGCCAGTGAGAGTGATCCTTTAGTAAGAGCCGAACTTCACAAACTAAACGGAAATGGTCAAGAACATGATCATGCATCCACATCACCAAAATCTGATGAAGCTTCTCGCTCTACATTTGGACCTCAGGTACATCTCCTTCCTCTTTAGCCATTCCATCTACTAGTATGTTCACATAAAGAAAAACCAAGGAACATAACCTTGTGTAATCTTAATATCTCCCCCTTACATTAACTTCATCTTTGGAAACCTTTTTCACACATCGTGAGACACAGCTCCATGTTTGTTTATGAGAGATCACGAGATATGATTGTTTCTGTTGGGTATTATTGTTTTAGCCAGAAGTACAAACTGTTTCACTCGTAGTCTCTTACAGATACTAAAAGTTCTTGGATACCATTGTGAATTACTAATCGCCACTAAAGGACTCATGAAATGCAATGTACACCACATTCTTATAGGAACCGCAAAGCCCTTATGTGGAAACACCGAAACTTGGAGAGGAGCAATTCAACCATTACTTCCCAAGGCCTGCGCCGCCTCCAGGAGCACAGAGACACTCTTAAACTGGCAATGGATTGATTCAGATGAACAAGAAGGTTATTTTCCCTTTTGTGCTATATAATATAAGTCTTTATGCATATTGATATATTTGCAGGCGGTGGTATTACCATTATGTAATTTTTATTATTGGTAGAAGAAGAAATTATTGGATCTTTGGAAAAAAACACATGAAATCTCATCTTAGACAATGTATAATGTTTTTATTCTATTTATATAGATTTGATGTTTGGAGATCATGTGTTGTGATTCTTATTGTCGTTACTATATGAAGAGACAAATAAAGCGGATATGTAAAATAGCTGTCTTTACCACTTGCTTTTTGAAAAAAAAAACAACTTAAAAAATCTGTTACATTTTCAAATTTTCTTCTGTATTCTTTGGGAAATAGACATTAGATCTACTCTAGATAATTAAATAGAAAAACAATTGTTTTGGACAACATTTCATATCGAATTTATTCGTAGAACAATAATAATAGTCTATTTAATAAACTATTAAACGATGTAAACGTTAAAAAGAGTTTTGAAAATTAAAGGTATGACGTTATGGGTAAGAAATGACAAGAGTACCCTTAAATGAAACGCATTGTGGTAATTAATCATGTGCCTACGAAAAACGGAAACATAAGGTCAAATACGGTAAACGACAAGCGTCAAATTATCACTATATTACCAAATTTTCGAGAGAAGAATTTTAATTTATAAAAATATACTAATAATCAAAGGCCTCAAGGAAAGCATCAATGGCGGAAGAAGCTTACTTGTTATAGCCACGAGTGAAGAAGAAGAAGAAGAAGAAGAAAGCCACTGTATAAATAAAGAAGACGATACACACAAGAGAGAGATACGTGTTTCTGTGTGTGTATTTACGCTTTTTCGGTTTTTCTTCGCGGCTTCCACGAAGAAGCCGAACGGCGTGATTCGAATTTTTCTTTCTCTACACTCTCGTCCGGATCTGAATTGTGGTGGAACCAATTGGTTTCTGATTTCAGATTTCGAATTTTCAATTTCGTAAAATCCAAATGGAGAAGACAGAGAACGAGAAGAAGCCATCGGCGGTATCTGACGTCGGAGCATGGGCAATGAACGTAACGAGCTCCGTTGGGATCATCATGGCGAATAAACAACTAATGTCATCATCTGGTTTCGGCTTTGGCTTCGGTTTGATTTCCTGAGCCATTTACATTTCATTGGATCTGCATGATCATTTTCGATTTTGAGAGTTTTGGATCTCTTTTAGAAATGGATTTGTGATTTTTTGAATTTGCAGCGACAACTCTCACGGGATTTCACTTTGCTCTCACTGCTCTCGTTGGTATGGTGTCAAACGCGACTGGTTTATCTGCATCTAAGCATGTTCCTCTTTGGGAGCTTCTTTGGTTCTCACTCGTTGCTAATATCTCAATCGCTGCTATGAATTTTAGTCTCATGTTGAACTCTGTTGGTTTCTACCAGGTAGATTTTTTCCCGTTGATTTTGGATTCCCAATTTTCTCAAATTGGTTTTGAGATCATTCACATTGTGTTTGATTTTCAACTTAGATTTCGAAATTGAGCATGATTCCGGTTGTTTGCGTGATGGAATGGGTTCTACATAGTAAGCATTACTCGAGAGAAGTGAAGGCATCTGTCATGGTTGTCGTTGTAGGAGTTGGGATTTGTACTGTGACTGATGTCAAAGTTAATGCCAAAGGTTTCATTTGTGCTTGCACTGCCGTTTTCTCCACTTCTCTCCAGCAGATCGTAAGCTTTTATATCCTTTTCCGTTTCTTTATTTTGATTTTGTGCAATCTGGTTCTCTTCAAGTCTCAAACTTTTGTCAAATAAGTGGTAATCCGGCAGTGACTCTGCCTTTTCAATCTTTGTGGATCAATGCGTTGAGCGTTTCATTAGATAAGTTGTCGTGTAGCTTTGAGTATTGATCATAAGTTGTCGAACATGGATAGTGTGTGTTACTTATTGTTCATAAATCTGTGAGATAAGATGACTCCTTATGGAAAAAGTCTTACCTCGACTAAGTTCTTTCTTGATGATGATGTTCAAGAGATTCTGATAAATTTACTCTCTGAAAACAGTCAATAGGTTCACTGCAGAAGAAATACTCAATCGGATCTTTCGAGTTGCTGAGCAAAACAGCTCCAATTCAAGCCATTTCACTCCTCATTTTTGGTCCATTTGTTGACTATTTCTTGAGTGGCAGATTCATTTCTACTTACAAGATGACTTATGGCGCAATGGTAAGTATACAAAAATATCCTAATCCTGCCTCTAAAATCCCAACTCTTATCTAACAATTGATAACCATCACACACATGGTACAGTTATGCATTCTTCTCTCCTGCGCACTGGCGGTTTTCTGCAACATTAGCCAATATCTCTGCATCGGCAGATTCTCCGCTACTTCCTTCCAAGTTCTTGGCCACATGAAAACAGTCTGTGTCTTAACATTGGGATGGCTTATCTTTGATTCCGAGATGACATTCAAGAACATAGCAGGGATGGTCTTAGCTGTGGTGGGAATGGTGATATACAGTTGGGCAGTCGAGTTAGAGAAACAGAGAAAGTCGAAAGTGACACCGCATGGTAAACACAGTATGACAGAAGATGAGATTAAACTTCTCAAAGAAGGTATAGAACATATGGATTTGAAAGACATGGAGCTTGGAAATAATAAAGCATAAATAAAGCTATTCAAGAGAAAGGTTTTTTGGTTATTTTTTGGTTTCTATATTCCCCAACATGTACTCTTTTTCTTTTGCCCTTTTTTATATGTTCTTTGTCTCAAAGAACCTTTTTAGCCTCTATTTGATGAGCTCTCCTCTGCAGAGCACATTCTTTTTTCTATAGAAATACATGATTTTTCTACTTCTTTGCATAACTACAAATGGTCACTGGCACATTTGGGAGTTATAAAAAGACTCTTGATTCTGATTGAAAAAAAGAGAAACTAATCAAAATTCATCTTAGACAATTGTTGTTTTTACATCTTTATTAGTAATGGTGGAGTAATCATGTGTTCTGTTTCAGATCATTGTTTCTGCAGTTTCTTTCTCTTTCCTGTTTGATTTGGTATAAATATGGATTTTTCTGATGCAATAAACACAACAATGTGGACAAAGTGGCAGCATTGTCTCATATAGAAAGTCAAATTTCATTACAAGACTGTAAAATCTATTAAACACCATGAGGTTACAAGCCATCTAACATGAAGAAACATATCTAGATTCCATTGAGAGTGACCACAACTCTGCGTGCGGTTGGAGCATCACGGTGTTCACATAGCCATATTCCCTGAAACCCCAACATTTCCAACACAATAGCTTTAAATAAGACAAAGTAAATGCAAACGAGATCTAAGAGACATACACTTCAAATTGCTAATAATTGTAGTACTGAAAGATGCATTACCACTCAATCTAAAGAAGTCAGTCAGCACCATAAATGAGAAACTATGAAAACATGTGAATGTAGTAAAGTATAGTCAGATGAAGAAATTTATTACCTGCCAAGTTCCCATGTTGAGTTTGCCTTTTGTTATTGGGATTCTGCAGAACAATAAACACTTTTTGAAGTGAGCATCCAAAAGCTAAAAATAAACTGTGCTAACACAAACCAGGGTTATAATAAAGATTGTGGCTCACGTGAGTTGACATCCAAACATTGATGATTTGATATGAGCTGGCATGTCATCAGGACCTGCAATTATTTTACACAATTCAATTCTCAATACACAAGATTCAGATGAAATGCAAAAGAGAATCACATTTCAGAGGATAAAGGGAACAGCTTTGATTTTATCATTTGATCATACATTAGCTTTGTGAAACCAACAACTAACCTTCCATGGTATGCCTCCAAGGCGCTGAATTCCCCTGAGTTTCAACCAAAAAACGTGATCAGTTGACACCAACAAAGTGCCAATACTAATGAAGCAAGTAAGAAGAACATAGATACCTCAGGAACAATCCTGTTCAAGAAAGTCTCAGTATCTGCCTGAACATCTGGATCATAATTCTCATTGATTGTCAAAGAAGCACTCGTGTGTTGCACTGAAACCAAAAAAAAAACATTTACTTAATCAAGAATTCCAAAAAAAAAAAAAAACAGAGAAGAAGCAGAGTAAGAAAGAAAACTCACAGAAGACATGAGCAAGACCACAATTGAAATCTGACAAGTCTTGCCCAATTTCCTTCACTATCTGTTTTCAAAACAAAACAAAACCTCAGAAACCCAAATTGAATTCACAAACCAATCAAATAAACAGCTGAAAAAAGCTCATAAATTGAGTCAATTCAGAAATCGCTTCGAATTGAAACAAAAGCATCTACATGAAAGATGAAACCTTTGGAGTAATAAGATGACATCCACGACGTAGCGGTGGAAGTGTGATGGTTTTCTGAGCCCACTTAGGACCAGAGGAACTCGCCATTGAAGCTCGATCGGTAGCTGGATTCGCTGGAGTCAAAACCGATCTGACACGCAGAGGAACAACACCAGAGAACAAGATCGTCGAGCTCTGCATAGCTTTTAGTGTTCCTCTAAGCCCAATAATAACAACAACAATGGCCAACAGAATTCCTCCTCCAACTCCAAACCAAAACCTCCCAATAGGGCCTTTCACTTTCACCATCATCACCATTCATTTTTCTTACTTTACTTTGCTTCTGGGCCGAAGAATTTTTGTGTAAAAACGGCGTGTAGTTCAGATCTTGTTTCTCAAAATAAAAAACTACATGCCGTCTTTAAAATGTTTATACGATATACATTATATAGTAGAATCATGTCTTCTTGTTGGTGGTTCCTCAATGATTACATAACGGAAACTTGAGTTTTCCGGTGAATATTCTATGTTTCTGCTCTTCTTCTTCAACAATTTCTGAGCTATTCTCTTCGTGGAGTCCGGTAAACACTTCACCGTTGTTTCCATGACGGCAGATGCATCCAGTGACATGTCTTTAGCATAGTAATGAACGATCTTGGGCAACAATATCTTTGTCTCATTGTGTATACGAACATTGTATCTTATATACTCTTCTTTGGATTTTCTTAGATCCCGGAAAACGCAATCCGCTGTGTAAACCCGAACCTGATAAACAACATAACTGTCAAAGTTAAAATCCAAGAAAAAATTTGTTGAAAATAGTAATGAGCCAGTTCTCTACCGGAGGATCTGTAGAAGCTCCTGAAGAAAGAGCGAAATGAGCCAATGCCTCGGGATATTCCAAGGCGTATATGTGTTTGACATTACAAGTTTTCGACTTTCTTGATGGTGAAAACAATGTCTGCAACAACTGTTTACAATAGTGCCTAGTTACAAGTTATGAACTGTAGTGAAAGTGAAGCAAGAAAACAAAGAGAGAGTGTGTTGCATACAGGTGGTGAGAAATGCGTACGAATGCCTAAGATTGAGCTTTGGATTGTGTAAGGGTTTACACGATAGCCTCCAACATCATAAGCTGCCTGATACATTGAAAAAGTTGCTTAAGTAACAGCAAAGACATAAATCAATCAGTCTAAGAGATGTAAAGACCAAACCTTTAAAACCGAGGTGTTTCTGGCACGGTTGTGAGTTCTGTAGGCTAAATAGGCCTGCAACAGAGAGAGCATCAAGAAAAGATTGAAGCTTTTATACAAGAGACAGAACCAATAAGAGACTAGTTATTGTTTGCTTACATGCATTGTGAGGGCATTGTGAATGTTTATCCAAAATGCGAGCTTCTCTTCGCGTTTCATTCTACTCGGATCAACCTTCTCAAGCTTTTGAACTAGTGATCTATACACACCAATTGGGTGTAACATTTCAGATTAACCTAATTAAAAAATTGTAATGTCACATAAGAAAAATGTTGCTCTTCAAGTGTCTATATACCTGAAGTTTTGGAGCATAAGAGCAGCGTGATTGAAACTACCATCATCCAGGTGAAGTTCTAGAGATTCTATTACAACAACGCCTGGCACATTTGCTTCTTTGCGTTCCTCGTGACGCGAGTTCCAGCTATCAAAAGTGGTTTTGGAAGAGACAGATGAAGGTGAAGAAGAAGAAGCCTGAAGACAAGAATTGGTTCTGGCTGTGCTGGAGAGTGTACAATACACAGAACATATGCATCTTAAGATATCTTCAGAGAGCCGACTCGGGTTCACAATGTTATCTACGATAAGCGAAGAACCCAGAAGATCTCCAAGAGTAGTGTGATTACCAGAAACAACATATCTACTCTTCTCCTGCAAAAATGCTCAAAACATTATATAAGTCTTTGTCAGATTCATCACAAGGTCTGTTAAACAAAGCTAAGGAAAATGCAAATGGGGTTTGCTTACTTACTCTTGCAGACAAAGCTTTTAAGCTTGCTTGGAAACTCCGAGGAGGACACGAAGAGGAACATTCAGAGGCTGGAGAAGCTTGATAATGGTAGCTGAACACACTGGTAACGTCAGATTGCTCGGATTTGGGACAAAACTGATTAGACACTAAGCTTTTTTCAGTGTGAGGAGAAAAAGAAGAAACTTGTTCATCGAAAGCTGTCCTATAAAGAGAGAGCAGATATTGTTCTGTACGCAGAATCTCAAACTCAAGTGAAGCAATTTCTTTCCTCAAATCTTCTGAAGACTGCAGAAAACACACAACATAAGAACTATAAAGTACATTTACCAAAACAATCTGTGAACATTTTAAAGCTATAAAGATCAAACCTTTGGCATAATGTTGCAATTAGAATCCTGATAAGTTAGTAATCTCTTCTCTATTGATAAACTCTGCCATGAAAAATGTGACTTTTTAGAACCCCAAAAGTTTTGCTTTTTAAAAGAAAAATGAAATTGGTTCCTCATCAGAAACTAACCGGTTTAGTGTTGTAGGTAGAGAATCTTGAAGGTGATGCAACAATCACATTCTGCTTCTCCCAGTTCCTGAACCCATTTCACAAGTTGATTAGGCCAAATCTAACTATAGAAAGAAGAAGAATGTGGTCATCGTTTACCTTGGAGAAGATGAAGAACAATCGTTTGAAGAAGGTGAAGGAGAACAGAGACCCATCATTTTCTCGCACTTTCTTGTCTGTTTGTAGAAATTCATCAGAGGGAATAAATAATAAAATTAAGACGACATCCCATCAAAGTATCTTCCTTCCTTTGAGACGTCTCAAGAGCATATCTCGAAAAGCTCCAGTCTTTTTGGCTTGTCGTTTATATCACTCCAAAAAATTGTTAAAAAGATGATTTTTTTTCTTTCATAACTTTCCGGGAAAATGAGCGAGAAAATCAGGAAAGTGAAACCGACATTTTTCCCGGGAGTTCAGACGAGAGTATCCCGAGTATTAATCATTCTATATACAAATCAAGATTTAATACTCCCGACGTTTTAAATTTTGTTTCAAAATAGTTGTCGTTTTAGTTTTTATTAATATTAGAATTATTTCTTTTTTAATGACCTATTAAGATATTAATAAGTAAGTGAATAATAATAATTCATTCATAGTACACTGATAAACTCACTTCTTCAGTGCTCAAAACTCAAGTATACTCTGAAATAATGCAATGAATCATAAGAAATGTTATTAATATGAAATGCATCGATTATTGAAAACATAAAACATAAGGATATATTTTTATACTACTATAGTATATTTTGTATCATGGAGTATAGTATATACTGAATTAAAATTCCTTAGAGAAATAAAATAAATCAAACAATTAATGCAGTCGATCTCAAAACAACTAAGTGAGTGGGGACAATTTAACACGATCCATAAAAGAGTTGACAATGTGACATAAAATAGTAACAAATATTTTGTGGTCACGAATGACAAATTTATGGACTTTTTTTTTTTACCATATCACTCAGAATAAAATAGTTGTAGACCTTGGCTTGGAAAAAACATTTCCAAAAGAAAAGAAAAGAAAAAAGTTTTAAGACTCAAAACACTATAAGAAAAAATTGAAATT